TTTTTGTAGTCTTGTTATCGCCGTTCATAATGCTGCTTAGTATTTTGGAATAAACGTCTTGTTGCATGTACATAATACCCTAAAACGACATATGTTTTTATTGGAAACAATTGTACACGGTTTTAAACATTTTTGTGAACACACTTACCAGACGGTTTTGACGTGTTTTTATTTCTAATATTATTGCTAAAAGGTCTAATAAATGCATGGATTTCAGTTCCAGAAGAATTGAAATCATCAAAGGCAAATATTTTCCATATAATTGCTGCATTTTATAAATAGCAAACACGATAGTCTTCTTGGGCATCAAAGCAACTGTCAAAAATTTCCAGCAGTAAAAAGTTACGAATTGGCACAGCAGAAATGTAAAATTTTCTCACCATAGTAAAAAGTTTTTCCACCATAGAACTTTTCTATCAATTGGCACAGGCCCTTAGTTTAAATTTCATCCAGCAACATGCGATCAGCTGTTTTTTGTACTGGCGAATTCTTACAAGTACAATTTTATACAGTAAAATTAAAAAATTTCGCCTGCGGCGCTTTTTCTATAAAAATTAATACTTCGATAAATAATGAAAATTTTTAATAAAAAAACGCGCGATGGTATAGCGAAATTTGCTATTATATTTTGGTTACAATATCTTATTTAGATGAAAGTAAAAAGAAGAAGAAGAAGTGTATAGTGTATAGTGTAAACTGAGTATAATAGCGCAAATGAAATGTGAAATAAAGTGGCAATACCAGCGATTTGAGGTTATAATAATTTTAGCAGGCGCAAAGTTTTTTTACTCTGTTTTATTAACGAAATATATACAATAAAAGAGAATAAATGATTTGGTTTGCATAAAATAATAACCGGAAACGTTTTAGTAGTGTTTTAAAAGTGGAATCTGGTGATTTAGTGCATTTTTGACGTGGTAATTGCTCATAGAAAACAACGAAATTTAACAAAAGTTTTTTGTTCATAACTTTTAAATGGTTCATAATATTATATCCCCCCTCCGGATTGTTATTAGGGGGGCCGAAACGCGTCGTTTGGTACCCCTCCCGACTTTTCCGCACCATTTTTAGGGGTTGTTACCCCACCCTAGAGAATTACCGAATTCTCTTCTGTGTTGCCAAAGAAAGGGGGCTGAACACCTTTTGCAGAGAACACCTTTCTGCGTAGGCGGCCTTTGGCCGCACTTAGGGATTATAACCCTCAATACGTAGAATTCTCTTCTGTGTTGCCAAAGAAAGGGGGATGAACACCTTTCTGCGTAGGCGGCCTTCGGCCGCACTTAGGGATTATAACCCTCACTACGTAGAATTCTCTTGTGTTGTTGTGTTTATATTTTTAATGCTGACTGGGTTATATCATATTTTCTTTTGTCTCTCATCCTTCTGGTATATTTAGCAGTTTGACAGCTAAACGCCGCCATTTAAGTTGCATATGCAACCGAAGGCAGACGCGTGGTTTTGAAGGTGTTTTTATTTAATAAATTGTGATTGATAGGTTAAAATTAAAGTAATAAAGAAAGTTGTAACAAGTCGAATAAAGTTTAAAGTGAAGGGGAATATAAAATTGCATTGGTGAAGTGGCTGCTTTAAGGAAAATAGGAGTGATAAATGTACGCTAATTTCCGAATTTTACAAAAAAGGGCAGATTTCAAAGCCAATTTGTAAATAAATTAGTGACCAAAAATTACAATAGTGGATGTTAAAATAATGGGTAGACCCTTGACTACAACTGTGTGCAATTTTTTTGAATCGAGTCACCCTTTTGGACGCAATACCCCGAAAAAGGTGGGCCACTTACTAAACAGTACCCCAAGATAAAATAAAAGAAAAGTGTGTAAAGTATTAAGTAGTACAGTGTTATGTGCATTTATATATATAAATGTATGCACAAATGCTTTTTTGTTAAGGAAACCAAGTGGAACGACTTAAGAAATTTTAACAACAAATAACTTATAAACAATGATATTATTTATATTTTTTAGTTATACATGTTTTAGAGGATACCTCCCTTTGTTAATTCCACCTGGTTTTCTTAAAACACAAGGTGCGGCTGACTACTAAAGCCCACCCTTATCTTGTATATAAATCACTTTAATTAAACTTTTATCGACTTGTAAATTACATTGAATTTCACGCATATTTACAATAACACATGGTTGCAAACTGACACATAACATGTGTTGCCATATTGTACAAAACAATACATACAAAGAAGGCAATGATTAAAAAGGAATACAGGGAAAATCAATACAAAAGAAAATGCTCAGCTCCTTTTCTTCGCAAAACAGAAAGGAGAATTCTATTGCCTGAGGGTTATAATCCCTAAGTGCGGCCGAAGGCCGCCTACGCAGA